TCAGTGTTTCAGCCAGAGCGCGCCATTGCGGGAATCCCGCGTTGCAATCAGAGATGGCCCCCAGAAAAACGAAGAAAGGGCCAATTTGGCCACCGATACAGTCACCAATGTAACTAACATTTTATCCTTGGCGACCAAAATTAGGCAAAAATTCCGGTTTAGTCACCATAATGGCGACTACATTTCTCTGTGTTGACGATCAGTCCGGTTATTTTGTCTCACATTATGTCCTTCTAGACAATCATATTGAAAGATCTCTGCTTCTAAAACATTCAACATAAGATAAGAAGTCAATCCATCCTTTTGCTCTGCTGTATTGATTATCTCACATCGGAAAACTTCCAAGTTCAGTTTGAAATCGCCCTATAATGCATTGCAAACCCTTGATCATTGACTATGTCATGTATGCCTCAGGACTGTTCTCTTGTAATGCACGGATCATATTAGTATCTGATTCAAAAGAAATTTATTGAGTAGAAACACCTCAAAAAGCACTTACTATTAAATTTTATCCTAGATCCTAATATACTGCTTTATTTTCCTTGGTACCCTGACGCATTTTTCCTTCTGTAGCTTTCAATTTATTGGCCCCTTTCCTAAAAAATTGGCCCCTAAAAAAGGTCTTCAGGGGCCACTTTGGCCCTCGAGAAAAATTTTCTGGCTGAAACACTGTTTGATGCACATGCGGAGGTCATGACGCAGTTCCTTTAAGGTTCAACACTAGATTGTAGTGGCCGTTCTTTATAGAGACAGAATTTTTATGACTGGCTTTACAATTCATTGTATATGTCTTATAAACGCGTTAATAAGTTCTTTTTCTTTTTTCCTGCAGGTGGATCACAGTCGTCGGACGCACGACTATGATCCATTTATCAGAACGTTTCTCACCATGTTAGCGGAGCAAGGTCATTTTGCTCAGCTTGTGGAACAACAGACATCACTCAAGCGACGACTAACTCAGACCAAACCACACTTAAAGCAGTTGAAGCGAGTGTATAAACGAAAGAAACCGAGATAAATTTCATCTGGCAATTATCAAGCCGTTTACGGGGGCAGAAGACGATCAGGTCTTCTGGAAGACTTGTACTCTACTGTAATACAGTGAAAGCCACCAGAGGGTAGTTGACTTCAAGAAACTTGTTGAGAGAAAGAAAGAAATCTAGCAATGCTCCTTAGAGAAGAAGGCAAACGTTGTGTGAGCGTTGATATGACGTGAGTTCCCTATTAACGGCTGTGAAGGAGGCGAAGCCGACATAAGAACAACTTAAAACTTAAAGAATTTCAGAGAGACATGGATGTTCGTGCCATATTATGTGTAGTACTTTCTGTTGATGTTAATATTGTATATATCAATTGTTAAAATAGAAGTTAAAGTTGCGTTACATTGTAAAATTACAGTTGTTACTCGAGCATTGATGGGACCAGCTTTTGTAAACCTATGGCCAAAAGGACTACTGCGAAAGCCGACGGAAAACACTGATCTCTACAAACTATTCATTTGCTAAAGCGGGAATTACAGCCAAGAATGCAGTACCGTTTCGCGCGAGAACATTTGCTGTTTTTACTCCCCCCATACGTGCTAGTCCACCCAAAATATGTAAAAGAACAAAAACAAAAAAGCTGTTTAAATACGGCGTCAATAGACCTTTTTAGCTTGAGTGGTTTGTTTTCCCATCTCCGACCACGTGATTTTCTCTGGAGCATTGTCCTTTAATCCATCTCAAAATTATTCATTCATGTACCCGCGATAATTTGAAATTTTTAAAGCAATAATTCTCAAGAGTATTATCACATGGTCTTAAATGGGGCATTTTTACAAACCGCCCAAGCTAAAAAGGTCAGAGCCACCTTAGATTTTCGGGAATTTAAGGTGGGTCTGAACCCTTCCTACAGAATTTTTTAAACTTTACCAAAAGTTGCGTCTTATCATGCTTATCAAAAGTTAATAATATAAAAAAATTCACCGTGCCATTTTTGAATCACAAGCCCGTAAAGCTGTAATTAAGGGTGTTTTTAGGAGGTCATACCGTTGCTATTGTAACCTATTGCGTCACGAAAATGATAACAACGTTTTCACCAAAGATTGGGCAGTTTTTTGATACCATGATTGTAGCATCAAGTGATAAAGAGTGGTTATAACGACCCATCAAACTGTTTTGAGCCACCTTAAAAGGCTCAGTTCTTACAAGGTTTCATTTCAGTATATAACTCGAATTGGGGTTTATTACTCATAGAGTTGAAACAGAATTCAAGCCACACCCACAAAAGAAGATCCTGGTACCTTTTAGGTGTTCGCTTCAAAATTTCCGACGAGCACCCCCAACAGTTTTTATATGGGAGTTCCCCCCGGGCTATGACGTACCTACCGTTTTCACCGGAAGTAAAAATGCATACCGGAATACCAGGCTAAATCTGTGGCTTGAAAAATATTATGGTATTCTCGTCTCTTTCCGCTGGATAAAAGTAACGACCGCTCTCACTAAAGAAGCACACGATGCTCCACGATGCCTAAAGCAAATACGCACAATTTTGAAGAAAATGCCTGGTATTTGTTATTCCTGCGGGGAGAGGCGCGAGACAAAGCGATGTTCTGCATGCCAGCATGCACACTACTGTTCAAAAACCTGTCAAAAGCGGCACTGGAAGAAACACAAACCAAACTGTATTCCACCGGAATCGTCACTACATGAATTGTTCGACGCTTGCGCCATGGACCTGTGGCCAAGTGCTCCTGCAGCACACGACTATGGCTTCGACAACGTGAAGTTATACCATGGTGATTCTGTGTTTCCTCGTGACTCTCGTGGTCTGACGCCGGAACACGTTTTGCTTGGCCTTTATCAGATCATAACCAGGGACATTAAGAATGATGAACTACCAAATGTTGGTGAATTTCTTTCTGATATCCCAGTATATAATTCTATTGGCGCATCGAAGAAGATGATGCTTGAATCATTCGAGAAGAATTCACTTGATGACTTTCTCCACCGTTATATTAGCAGTGTAATTGAACGGGTGGGAGATCAGCTACCCCCTGATTGTTATATCTTCCAATGGACACGGCACAGACTGGTTATTGGTCCTACTCGATTGTTGCTAAGCGAGTCTGTTGGGCTTACACAGGGGCAAGTAGTACAGATGAGAAATGATATTTATCGAAGGTACTACGAAACCAGTAGCTAAGAACTTGACATTATAAACTTTTAGCACTGATCCTTGGTGATGATGATGATGATGATGATGATGACGATGACAATGACAATGGTGATGCTGACAATGACAATGATGAGGCCATGTAGCCCTGACCACGACCACTACCATGACGACAGTCATGATGATGATGAAATCAAATAGGGTGGAATTCTGATTTCTCAAAACCCTCAATTTTTCGAACCTCCTGATAACTCGAACCAAAGGTCATTTCCTTTGAATATAGTTGCAGACTGTCATTTTCTGCCCGATTTCTCGAGCTACCCAATTTTTCAAACCAATAATAAATTTTCATTTCCCTTGGAGGTTCAAGAAATTTGGGTTCTACTGTAGATACCAGAAGTTTAACTTCACATGAAATAAAATTTAAGTCAAGTAGATTACTTTAATTAAACAAAATAAATTAGCATTGAATCAGATATTTTAATCAAAATTTTACATATTGCTACATAACTCAGACTGAGCAGGCATATATATAAGTTTGATTTTTACTAATACCTTTTTATGAATTTTAAAAGCCACAATTGTAATGCTGTAAATATAGCCCCCCTTGTATCTCCTGTCTTAATTGCTGAAAAGCACAGATCAGTGACGAAATGTTTGTTATTCTAAGTCATTTAAAAATTTGTTTCTAAATTCCTGGATTATCCTGGAATCTCTGCTGAGGAATAACAAATACTAAGCATTTTCTTCAAAATTGTGTGTATCCTGGAGTCACCTGGATACTGATGAGTTTTTAATCTGTGGGATTCAAAGGAAAGTGCTGATTCTCACACCTGGTTTGGCTTATAATTTTGAGGAATATTAATTAGCTCTTATTTACCGAGCAGGAGGTCTGTATGGGAGAATCTTGACTGAGGTTGTGAGTACAGAGCGAATGCAGTGAGGTCTGTACACGTGACCAAGGTCAAGATTCTTCCATACAGACCGACTAAGCGAGCGGTTAATAAGATGTCTATTATATGGCAATGAAACAAGAACAATTTAATTCATTTAATGTAACTGGTTTGTAGGGAACTGATGTTTCGCTTGCAAATAGCGATGAGTCGAACTTAATTCTGCCAAAGTTTGCTCGTCCTCTTTACTTTTTTTCTCATCAGGCTTTTTGGCACTTCGATAAAAAAGGTATTGTTAGAAAAAAGAAGTCAATATTTTTGTAGTTAAGTTTGCAACTTTTTCACCGCAAAACATTACTGGTCTAGATGCCGGTCTAGATGGGAAAATCTAGACTGCTTTCAATATCAATTTCAGCCAATAAAATTCATGAATTCGGTAGTTCCCAGTCCTTGTGAGACTCAGCCATATAATAATGGAATATATTCATGTACTTGATACATGTAGTTTTCGGTTGTAAGGTGCACAACTCAACGGAAAATTATTTTATTTCAACATATCATTTCCCTCAAATATTACCTTTAAACCAGTGCAAAGAAAATCAATTTTCAAGTTCACCCTTTGGGCACGTATTTGCAGTTATGATGTACTAGCCTGGAAGTCATTCTCACTATAGCTATGTTAAAATTTCTTACTAAAATTGAAACTGCAGGGCTATTCCAGCAGTAATTTCATCTCTTAGAGTACTTTTAGTTCTTTAATTTGGATTTCCCCCAAAATAATCCCAAAAAGCTTTGCTTGCCCTTCAGACAAGGCATGCAATTTACTAAGACCAAGTAAGTCGTTGGAACTGCAAAATCCATTAGCCCTGAGGGCTATCATGCAGACATGCCTTCAAACACTGTAAACTTGAGGTGTACATTTATTGACAGTCAATTATTTTACTGTGACAAATTCTTATGACTGCAATTTCTTTATGATCAAGCTGCTAGAGTAAAAGAGGTTGTTGAAGATCTTGTAGATATGGTTGTTATGGAAAGCACTGATTTGGTTTTTATAGTGATTATGAGTCAACATAGACAATGTTAAAACTAACAAGTTGTTGCATAAATTTATGAGAAATTAGCTACCGTGATGTTGTAAAAGGTGTTGCCAAGGAAAAGTTAAAAAGAAAAAAATAGTGCTGGAATTTCTTGGTTGCATAACAAAGTACACACTGAAGTTGGTGTCTCATGACTCCACAGAAATATGTAGTACTACTGAGTGATAATCATGCGAGGAAGTATTTACATTTTGATTATCACAGTTATAACTAGATTGAGATTGTCCATTCTTTTCCTTGCCAATAATTTTATTGTCTAAAATGTAAATATAAATAAACATGTTTTCAGTATTTCTAACAATAATTTTCTAGAATTCATCACATATCCTAGAGAAAGCTGGGGAACCCCAGAGGGGTGGGGACTCCCAAATAAAAAGGACAGGGGTGCTTGTCGTACCTTTAAGGGGTTTAAAAAGCAGTTTTGGTAACTCTTAGGGAGATAAGCCTCAAAATATCTACAGCAGGAGCTTATTGCAATATGTTTTAGGGGATTGAGCAGAAAAAAAAATGATAGGAGATAATGTGTTCTAGAATTGGTACCTCTTAGGAGAGAAAAAAAAAATTAAGATGCCCACAAAACAGGATCTTGGTACTTCATGGAGGTTCTTTTCCAAATTTCTGACAAGCACTTCTGTTCTATTAATATGGGAGCCCCTCCCCCCCCCCCCCCCCCCCCCC